TGGAGCCTCACTGAGTTACTAAATTGCCCAGGCTAGGCTCAAATTTGGGATCCTCTTGCCTCAGCCTCCTGGAGTGCTGAGATTACAGGCATATACCACTACACCCAGTGATCACTGATGTTCTTAAGTGACACAGTGTGGGGATGTCACTTGGTGCAAAATACTGCTGAATGACACTGTTACTTGTAACTTTGAGGGCAAAAAGAATAAATATTTAAGTCATTGTATTCTGCATTTTGAAATACCATGTAAGAGTGTGTGTGTATGTGTGTGTGTGTGTGTGTGTGTTGTATGCATGTGCGTCCATTCATGTGCCCACGAATACATGGATTTCAACCTGGGCCTTCACATTGAGCCACATCCCTAGTCCTTTTCTTATTTTGAGACAGGGTCTTCCTGCATTGCCCAGGCTGGCCTCAAACTTGCCATCCTCCTGCCTCAGCCTCCCAAGTGCTAGGATTATAGGCGTGTGTTACTGTGCCTGGCTTCTGTGAAAGTTTTAACATAGCTCTGAGCTGCTTTCTGTGTGCTGTGACCCTGGGCTCTGGTCAGGTGCTTCAGTGTTGGCAGCAGGGTTGTCCATGTTGGTTTGGGTGGTGGAGGTTGTTCAGGAGATGGCCTGGCTGTGGACTCTATCCCCTGTCAGAAAATCCCAGGTCTGGTGAGGTCTGGCTGCTACTTTTTTGCATTTGTTGCATCACCGAGTAGCTCTTCTGAACCTTTATGTTCTTGGACTTGGATGCTACCCAGGGCCCCAGCATGTGCACACCTGGTGTTAGACACAGTCCCCCACCAAGGCTCTTCCTGTAGTGTGGTCCATCCTCAGCTTCCTGCTCCTAGCATTTTATTATGAAAAAGCAAATTTTTTGAGATGGGGTCTTACTATGTAGTTCAGGCTGGCCATGAGCTCATGGGGATTCCCTGAGTGCTGGTATTACAGACCTGCGCCACCATGCCTGGCTGCCCTGAGAAGTTTTGAATGCACTGAAGTTTAAGAATTTTATAGTGGACGTTCACAAACCCCCCACCCAGGTTCTTCCAGTAACTGTTGCTGTGTCCTCACTTTACCCCATGTCTCGGTGTCTGTTCATTGCTCTGCTCACCTGCAAGTCCATCTTGTTTTTCTGATGTAAATTCCAAATTTCATTTCACATTTCTCTAAATAGGTCACCATGTATATGTCTAACTAGGGTTCAAGATTTGCTTGCTATATTCTGTTTTTTTGGTTTTTTTTTTTTTTGTTTTTTTTTGGGGGGGTACTGGGAATCAAACTCGGACCTTGTGCTTTCACAGCAGGTGAACTAATTGAACTAAATTGAACTAAGCACCATTGAACTAAATCCCTGGCCTTTGCTTAACATTTTCTTAAAAAAATTTTTTGAGACGGGTTTTACTGTCTTAATGTAGCTGGCCTCAAATTTTCAATCTTCCTGTCTCAGCTTCCCAAGTGCTGGGATTACAATCATGTACCACCATGCCAGGCATTTCTTTCTTTTTGGTTCTGGGGAACTCAAGACCCTGCGCTTGTGAGGGAACATGGTACTACTGACCTAAATCCTTGGCCCTGGACTTCATTTTATTTTGAGGAAACATTTTCATATGATGAAATATATATGTATATCTTACCAATGCATTTAAATAAGTTTTAGGTGTGTACAACTGTATAATTTTTAATTTAATTTAATTTAATTTTATTTTTTGTTTTTTGAGAGACAGGGTCTCGCTATGTAGTTGAGACTGACCTGGAACTCACTATGTAGCCCAGGCTGGTCTCAAACTCACAGCAATCCTCCTGCCTCAGTCTCCAGAGTGCTGGGATTACAGGCATGCGCCACCATGCCAGCTTTTTTTATTATTATTTTTTTTGTACCAGGGATCAAACTGAGGTCCTTGCACTTTTGAGGCAGGCGGCGGAACCACTGAGCTAAATCCCTAGCCCTTAATTTGTATTATTTTGCTTCCCAGTACCACAACAAAATACTTGAGATAATAAAGTTATAAAGGTAAAAGATTTATTTGGGTTCATAGTTGCCTAGGTTCCATTCTGTCATCTGGTGGCCCTATGGCATTGGGCCTACACCAAGGTCATCTATCACGTGGGGTGCATGACGGATGCAAAATTGCTTCCATCAGGAGCCAGGTGTTAGCAGGAAGGAGAGGGGGCTGAGGTCCCACAGGCCTGGTGAAGGGCCCGCCCCAAGGATATCATTAAGCCCTGCTCCTGGATTACCATTGGGCCCCACCCCCAGGACTTCACCCAGACCCTGAAGCGCCCAGTGCCTTCCAGTGGTTCCTGGAACCCAGGGTCTCACTCTGTAATTTAGGCTGGCCTTGAATTCACTATGTAGCCCACGCTGGCCTCAACCTCCTCAGTTCTGGGATTATAGGTGTGTGCTATCATATCCCAGGTAATTTTTTTTTCAAGCAATGCATCACTTTTATTCTCTTCCATCGTTCAAGCTTGTCTGGAACATTATGACAGGCATGAAGGGAAACATAATTCCATTTTTAAAACTCCATCAGCCCAAAATCTAATGCATGAAACCATGCCACGACCTCTTAGAAAAAAAGAATTTGTTCAAGATGAATCTGATACTCAGGTTAGGCAGAGAAGGTTCCTGTGTGGAAACTGAGAGGTTGCATGGGTTCAGCAGCTTTCAGTTTCCCCTTGGGTCCGGAAAGACGAGCATGATCTCTGGAGCTGGTTCCATGATGGCCACGGCCACCTCGGGCCTCCTCTCTGGCAGCTCTGTTCTCCCGGCCCTGGAATTGCCATTGTCGGTCTTCCCTGGGTGTGATGTGGATCCCTCCGCAGCGGTGGTTTCTCTGAAGGTGTTCTCTCTCTGGAGCATTTTCCGCAGGACTGGAGCCCTGGCTGTAGCTTTATGGTCTCTGGGGGATTCCGGTTTCCTCCAGAAGCAAACCCAGGAGAAGGCCACAGCCCTGTCCGCCCCATGGTTGAGCAAGACACCCGCTCGCCTCTTCCACTTCTCCGCAGCCCTTCTTTCCTGGCGGAGCAGTGCCTGCTTTCAGGGGCAGGCAGGTGTGGGCCAGGCAGGAGGAGAGCAGCCGCTCACCTGGAGGGCTGCAGAAGCGGCCCTTGGCCTGCGTGGCATCACCAGCTGTGGGAGTGGTGGCAGCAGTGGTGCCTCCTGGGGTGTGGAGGAGGAGCAGTTTGAGAGGCAGCCCCTCACCCCCGTGCTTCCACTTGGAGCAGCTGTGCTCTTATTTTTTATTTTAAGACAGAATTGCTAAGTTGCCTAGGCGAGACTTGAACTTGTGATCCTCCTGCCTCATTCTCCCAAGTGCTGGCATTACAGGTGTGTACCACCATGGATCCCCACCCTTTTTTTGGTACTGGGGATGGAACTCGGGACCTTGTGCTTGTGAGGCAGGTGGCAGAACCACTGAGCTAAATCTCTGGCCCTTGCATTCCCTTTTTAATCCTGTCTGTTTCCCCAGAAAGGCTCCCAACCTGCCAGAGTAGCTAATGCAGGATGAGGCTGCTCTCAAGGCTTGCATTTCCCTTCCAGCCTGTCTTGGAAGTCAGGGCCAGCCCAGCCGGTCCCAGT